AAAAATGGGCCTAATTTTGCCTCTTTTCAATCAAGAGCAATCAAAGCTTAAGGAAACAAAGAAGCAATGGTGAAAACGCTGCCATCTTGGCATCGGTAGGTGTCGACATCGATTCAATTTCATTCAATACCAATTGATGATTGTTCTAGTCGCCAACCACAGGGTAATCTGCTTCTCTTCAACCCAACCGAGTTAAATCTCCAGGAACAAACTCATATACTAACAAGCTCGAGTGGGATAGCTGCAAGGAAGCTTTAGAAGCGCTCAAATTTAGGGAGTATTTAAAACACTAAAACTTCCGCAAACTAATCTTGCTGTAGATTAGCGATCATGGACCTAGAAGCACAAGTTCGCATGCGCAGCCAATGTTTACGTTCTTTCCAAACACTACGTCGCGCTTGACGCATCCACCGCGTATCGCACAAATGCGATGGGAGATTATAGCGAGCAATCTGTGAGTTAAGGAGTCCTTGATTATTTTCATTCACCGGCCACTTTTCCGAATCCCACTGGGTCTTGATTGTCATTAATATAGAAGGAATCATTCAGAACAATCACATCTAATGAATATGAAAAACAAAAAAGAAACAGAAAGAAACAACAAAACCAATCAAAAAAGAAAGGCAATCAATGAAAAATATGGTGTTCTATCGATTGCCCTGGAGGCGGGCTGATTGTGAGTACGGTGATCGCAGTTTGAAGCCACGAGAACTAAAAAAGATTTGCCCCACTCCGCAGAGCGAACGATGGAAATCGGAGAGATATTGCCACCCGTTTTAGGGAGAGGCTCGAATGTGTGACATGACGAGTTACAAAGTTTAGTTACCTGCAATTCATAGAACACAACGTTGTAGATTTTAATCCATAGGTGACCGCGCACATCAAACGTGTCAGGGGTATGGGACCATGATCGTTCGTTCTGCTGCTTTTTTTTGCGTTCTGCTGCTCCGGCCGCTCGAAACACCCATGCCCACAGGGGCAACATAACTTTTCTACGCACGTTTTCGAGGAGAGACGTTCCATAAAAATGTCATGGAAGAAGTAATTGGAAATATATTAGGGTTCATGACTACGTTCTTCCACACGAATCGATTTCGGTGCGCCCTTTCACCATTACAAGTTATAGTAGAACATATACTACAATGGGTATCGTCCTACTAATATGATCCACAAAGTGTGTCTGTTAGTGTGTTGGTGCTTGGATACATGTGCTTGTCTTACCGGAAATTCACAACTGTTCCCGTAGACCTAGAGCATTAAAACTTTGTAGGAATACAGGCGACCTCGTCGGAGCACTGAGGGAGGTGGTAGGGCTAGACTCCGCCCACAGGAGGCGGGGCGCAAGCGATAACTGTTAATTTGGGCCTGGGGCGTTCAAATTTGCTAGGGGTGCATGCGACGGGATGTCAATGCTGATGGGTGGTGACGCGACCTTAAGGGGCGAGGGCACGCGCAAGAATTTGAATGTAGGGGTTTACTTTTGGCACCAGCACAGGCGGCAGGATTAGGACACCGGTGGTAGGTAGTCGAAAAGGAGAGAACTCGATCTCGCTCGCATGGTTGTATGGCTTATGGAGGTAACAAACATGCGTGAAATGAGTGTAAACAATGAAAAATAAAATAGAAATAAACCATATTACTTGAAGACACAGGACATGACGCGCACGATGTGTGTCGGTATGTGTGTGCTTCGCTGCAAATCAACTGCTCTTGTTCTCTAGGACCAGAGCTTTCAAACTTAATAGAATGCAAGCCGTGCGTCAACTTTAACGCAGGAATTAGGAGGGTTCGGCGTCAGCCGGGCGAGACACAAATGTCGTTGTAAGTCTACGTGAAAAATGGAGGAGTGGCATTGCAAATTACCTAGCAAAATGTTCATTATCTACCGGAAGTTCATCAAATTCTACCAATATAAACACTAATCTTAGGAGGATCGGGCCCTGGTCACAGTACGCAGCTAATTAGATTTACCGGATTGCAACAAAGTAAAGCCTTTTAGGAAGTTGAGCATTCGATTCATTCATAGTTCAAGCTTTTCTCACCTCATCATATGGATGCATAGGTTTGACGCGGAGGATTTTCCACTTTGCGGCTCCCTGTTGAATAAGCATCTTCATAGGATAAGCATCTTCATTCATGGTTATTCTAATTATGTAGTCGTTTCCGCGTTCTAACAGCTCTCCGGGGTCGGCGATTGCGCCCAAATCATTATGCACGTAATCCTCTCCTCGCAAGTGTGACAAAGAAATTGAAACGGGAACATCCATCTGAGTAACATTATAAATCGTTGAACGTTCGCAAACTTAATCTTACTTTTCAAAAGTATTTCAATAAATTATAGAATGGAATGTGTGAGTAGATTAAAATAGTATCAATTGATACGCACCTCCATGGAGTTCCCAACGGCGAACGTGGGAAAAAGGGCCTTTGTAAGTCTACAATCCTCAGGACCGAACTCAAATCTGGGCCGATATCGACTACAAGATCCAAGTAAGGCTCCGGCAATATTCGCGCTGAATAGATTAATTGAGAAACAGCACAAGCCTAGATGACTCGTAACAATATCGGCAGGTCGAAAAGCAGGCACCTGGTCTCGGTAACTTTCTTTACTCTTAGGATTTAAAGCACAAGAACAACGCTTTTTCAAAAGAGCGTCCACGGAATAGGTTAGTAACGCAGCAAATTTCTGATTAAGTTGTTGGTCGCGACCAACACAGATGAGCCAGAAATAAAATTTGATGCAGGGCTAATGGAGGCAATATCTGAAGAAAGAAATCGACCATGCACCAGAAACAGGAAAGGAATAGCGGGAATACATTTTCGGAAGACCATCGAATAACATTGTTATCAGAAATGGTCGAATTGTGCACTACGCAAAATTTTACTCCAGCCAATCGGTATTTGAAGATACCACCAGTAAATCAATAAAAATAGAGTAATGGCTCAGACACCAACACTGTTTTGACACAAACCGTATGATCTGTGGAAACACGACTTCTTCGAAAAACATCGGTAATTTGAAAATTGCTTCGATTATTGCGAAGTTAAACCTACTCGAATCTCGTTAAATTCGCGCTTCTGTCATGGTTCTGGTGTTCGAAGCGATGAACCTTCACAACTCAACTGCTTCACAAAGCTTTCAATCGTTGACTCATCAGATAAAGGCGAGACTCATCCCAAACTCGACCTAACCTCTTCGGGTGCTTCATGAAGTAGTACAAAATCCGTGGCATATACAGTAGCGCTCAAAAGCCTTCGGTGAAATGCTTTGACGCTTTCTCGTTCATAACTTTTTTCTTATTAGACCAAATCGCGCGAAATTTGGATATGTTTAACTAAAACATATTTCGCCCTAATGAACACTATTTGACTGCGAAGCTGCAATATCCACAGATAGAGCAAGGTGTTTGTTGCGGTAGCAGATTTTGCTAAAACTAAAGTTGTTGACGTCTGCACTTATTCACACCTTATGTGCGTTTTTCTCATCTATTGTGTTCGGCGTTACTGCTCATACACTTTAGACATGACAAAAAGGAAAGAGATTCTGGAAGGGCCATCACCTATATTTTCAGTCGATTTTGAGTTTAAGCTCTTTGTTATATTTGGAACACGATCAGATTGAAGGTTACTAGTGGCAAATATTCACAATACGCCCGTGCTATACATATTGAGATTACATCCAGAGGAAAGAAGTTACGATTGAAAAGTACGACTTAAGAATCATTTCGCCGAAGACTTTTGAGCGCTACTGTAAACAGATAGAAGCGAGTTATCCACATATAGTAAGCAACGGCGATGGCTCTATTGGTGGTAAGTAATGATGAGCGTATATATTGAGCGATTTTGTAGCGTTACGTGGGGCACATGCGACTCACTCCGACCAGACTTCACCAGATCCCATCGCGCACGCCGCCCGCGAGTGGGTGTAATGCAGACAATGTATCCATTCCGATGTGATCACTACAGTAGATACAGAAAGCCAAAGAGATTTGCACTAGTCATGGCTTTGCCGTGGACTAGTGCAAACCTCTTCACCATGACAATGGAGTCCCTACGAGATTATAAATTTACTTCATAGGCCAGCAGTTTACTTGTTAAGCGTTAAGAACAAGATTAGCCTCGAAACGTCTCGCTTTCAATGAACGTTATTTTCCTAAACTTGAGCAAATGGCTCTTTTTTCACTTGCCTTATGCTGCAAGCCCCGCCCTCTACACGAGACGATCCCAAGTTGCAGTTCCCAGTTGCAACTCACCCAAGTTACATACGGCTTTGAACAGAGCTATGAATTTTTGACTTTCAGCTTCGCCCGCTAGGAAGGTTTCGCCAATCCCTCAAGCAGCTTCGCTGTATTCTTAATTTGTGAACAATATTATGAATTTTCGCATCTTGGTCTCACCCACCTAAGTGCGAGCCACGCCTACTCTGAGAAATTTTCTTCATTCCTTTTGTAGCCTCTCACCACTTTTTTCAGCATTCTAGAACGTTGTGAACAGAATTCTATATTTTCTAGAAGTATGTTCCATATGAAGGCACGTCGCATATCGCAGGCGAAGCTTCGCCACGTAAGTACTTTCTCGCAAACCTTTTCCTGAATAAAGTGAGCGGCGAAGGAGAAAAGAAGTGCTCTTTCGTGCGAAATCGAGATCCCAGAGAGAATGAAGAATGTGCAACCTACTCCCAACGTCTAGCACCAGACAGCTTCAATTCTTCAACGAGTGCGAATTGGACGCTAGGTATGGTTTTAGGTATACTTCGCTAGTCGACCAGTGTCAAAGCGATAGCCGCTACAAGTGCCTTAATCTGACGAAAGCAGATGATGTCACACGCCAGCAGATCGGGCATATTAGGTAGTTGAATCCAGAATTCGTTAACTTTTTTCCATAAAACTGCAACGCAATTCGAGTTGCATGGGGCTTCGTAGCTCATAGGCGATTTGTAGATGTGTGCTGCCATCCCTTTCCCAATACTATCGTCGATGAAGCTTTTTAAAGGCCCCCTACATTATGCCTTACACATCTGTAGCAATGACTAGAGCTCAATGGTTACTACATGACTCTGCATTGGTCATTCTTGGCGTCTTCTGTTCAGCATCTATCCGAACCCAATGTTTATTACTTTTGGGCTCAGCGGAAAATCATACCACTGCCTTGCCCTGCCAATTCTTTCACTCAGCTCAAAAAAGACTGGTGACTTTGGTGACGGACAACATTGTTACTGCAGGCATCATTCTGATTCAGATTCTGTTTCTATAAAAATAAAGTGAGGTACCTATACACACATCTCACTGGCCGCCTTCCTTTGGGCACAATTGCGTCAACGATTCACTTTTCTATGATGGTCTACCCTCTGCGCTTCACTATTCGACATTTGATTGACCTCTCATGTTTCTCTCTAATTTTTGTATTTCGCAGCCGGGATAACGAATTTGTAGCGACGTAGCCATCTATAATATGTAGCTTCCGATTGAAGACACAGTTCACGATAAAACTGGTGTCTGAGTTCTGCCTGGAGGCCCCAAGGGAAACAGAAAGGACGCTGCCGGGTCCAAGCGTTCAACAGCTAAGGCAGAGTGGGAGCCTCGTTACCGGATCGCCCGGATTCCGGTCAAAATTCTGCGGCCTCTATGCACTCACCCGTCTGGTGTCAGAGACACAGAGCAGAGCGTCAATTCGTCCGAACTTTCACGCCATCTTTTTGCTTGAAACTCGTCCAACCCCCATTGTGCTAATTTTTCGAGCCCCTGCATTTCTTTTTATACGTCGTTCTTTGCGCTATTTTCGTTATTTTTGCACTATTCTAGATTGTATCTTCCGTAACCCGTACCGTCCCTTCAATGAGTGCGGAATTTTAAATGAGAACGATATCGTGAAGCTAGAAGGAAGCGCAAAGAAATAGGCAAATGCTTTCAAAGTCACCACAATATTGAACCGAAACCAGGAAATACAAAAACTCACGGCATGTTAATTTCGATCCAATGGCCAGGACCGAATTTTAACCGCTCATAGGGATCGCAGCCGAGGTGAAGAATACCTGTTTCAAGACTGTCTCGCGTCCAGACATAGCCAATGTATTCACAGTCATTTGCCACAACATTAGTGACAATTCCAAGTAGAACGACATCCGCATAACGATTGTTTGACTGGAAAAAGCATTCCATAGCTGCTTTCGACAAGATATCAAACTAGAAAGGTTGATTGACGAAATAGGCGGCTACGAGATTGAGATTTTTCGTTGTTCGCAGCTGGAAAACACTTGAACGTCGCTGCTCGTCGTGGCCATGTGAATATTCGAGAAATGACGTGGACAAAGTTTCCAAATTGCTCATTGATTTCAAGAGGCAATAATATCAATAGACAAATCTAGCTCTCGAAGCCTCATCGTTCCATAGGTTTCTAAAGTTCCTAACTGATTGAACAGTTATGTCTGAATGATCCCCTGATCTACCTGGATTTGATGTTTTCCTAACTGCTGTTATAATGTCGCAGTATGCGATGCAAAAGTTTCACAAGGCTATTCACAAAATGCCAATCTCGGACAAAACTTGAGCTACCCTGGCACGGTGCTACCCTGGCACGGTGCTCTTATACCTTACACTATCGAGACCCCACTTGCCCTCACCGTCTTAATGGCTTATATGTATACCATAGCTTATCAGCGCTCTCACGGAAGCATTGTCCATGATCTTCGTTCATTGAAGGTGCTCGGAATATCGGAAAGGTGAGTGTGGAGTCGAATATACCCCGTCTTTTGCATTACTCCCTCGTTATCTTTGAGGCACTAATCACGAGATATCCCCCTAAACGAATCTGTCTCTCCCGCATACTATATGCAGCATTGTCGGATTGGAAAGCGGTCTAGATACGACGCTATAACGGCTCAAAAACTGCACATACAGTCGAATTTTCTCGCTTTCTTTGCTACCGATGCACTATTCCTCATCAATACCTCGCTTTCTAACTCAAGAGTCACTTATCCGTCCCATGATCATCGCTTTCGTTAACTTCAGTTTCGAGCCTGTTTTCCCAAAGCGTTGTCAAATTACGCCGGCACTTGCTCCGCCTGCTCGACATTCAGGTTCTCATGTCTTCCTATTCCGAATGATATATGTATGATGCTCTCGAAAGCGGCCCGAAGAGCTTAGACGGAATGGTATAGCCCATCGAACCCCTCTCTCCATATAGAGAATGTTTCTAATAGGAAGGCGAAATTCTGGGCGTAAAGTCATCGAAGCACCCATATACATTGAGTAGTAACACTCTAACTGCCTTACGCTCCAATAAGCGCTTTGTTTAGGATGACCCGTGTGAGAAGTTTGCGTATCATAGACAACAGGCAGATTGGACGACAACTGCTATTGCCGTCTAAATCTCATTGTACAGAAACACAGTCTTAGCGTTCACTGGTGGAAGGCCCTTGGAATGCTGCGGTTTGGAGGCTGCGATAGTTCAAACATCGTATCGGCTGTATGCCACACCCAAGGCGTTGTAGAGGCATTCACAGGGGAAATTTTGGTTGATGAATTCACCTCTTCACGCATTCGCAACACCTGAACCGCGTCCTAATAGTCCCTAATGCGATTCCGGTCGCGATAACCTCTTACAACCACTATTATCACTAATCTTAGGAAGCCTTCTTTCGTGAATTCGGCGCACTTTCTCGCTTTCTTCGCGACCGATGCATTGTACTCCACCAAAACTTGAGCCAAAACGAGATATCCCTTTTGCCTACCTACCACTTAGGCAGAATATTAGATTTTAGAGAGAATAGAAATCGCGGATGTCTTTTTCCATCGCCTTTCGATATGACTGTCTCACCAGGGCGACGAGGGAGGATCATCTTGGTCATGTAATTGGCTGGCTCCAGCAAGCTGTGCAAATGCTCTTCCAGTTTTCGGTGGCATCGGTCAGGACTGCTGCTCTTTTCCTTTTCAAATCTTACTTTGTCCCTTCTCTGCATAGCACCGCAAGTTCGGACGTTGGCTGGTTATTGCCTGCAGTCCACGTCATCTGAAGGATGACCTTACGCCATTGCTGAACTATCCAGTTTTGAGCATGAGCCCAATCGAGAAGCGCTTTGCGAGCCTTGGCAGGAATCAGCGGCTTCTTTACAGAACGACGTTCAAACAGATCAGCTTCTTTCGAACGACGCCGAAGTGTTTACGAACAAGTTGGTCCCGCGATAGTCGAGATTTTGTGAAGAATTAGAAGCTAGCACCCCTCCAATTTCGTAAACTTGCCTAGTGACAAGACTTCGTGGAAGCTTTGAATGACGGCGTCAGTCAATATAGTCTTCCTGCAAATTACTGATTCACGAGTGCATTGACAAAGTCTTATCGGACTACTAACCAGGGAAGAGTAGTCTACTTATCTTGGAACTTTGAATGGAGACCTAGATGAATCGATAGAGTTCTGAATGCTGTTTACGAAAATGGAAATTAAAATTGCAAAATGGTTATCCTTAAAAAGTTATGGGAGCCCGAATTTCGCTCGACAGTAGTATCAA